ACATATACATACACATATACATGTACATATATATATATACACATATGCACACATACACACATACATACATATACGTCGGTCAGATTCATGTGGGTAATGTCACTCTTCACTGCCATACAGGACAGAGGTTCGTACACAAAGAATGAAATACATCATATTCATTAGCATCCTCCGCCGGAGAGAGAGAGAGAGAGAGAGAGAGAGAGAGAGAGAGAGAGAGAGAGAGAGAGAGAGAGAGAGAGAGAGAGAGAGAGAGAGAGAGAGAGAGAGAGAGAAGGGGACATAGCATTCTTGTCTTTATGTGTGTGTGTGTGTGTTTGCTGATTGAGTTTGCTTTCACTCACCTATGATGAAGCAATCTATGCCGCCGACAAGATAATCATGGATGGTGTGCTTGTCAGGCTTTGCAGAGCCTATGTATTAGGGTGTGTCAATTTTGTCAACATGTTAAAAATCAAATTTGGTAGTCAAAATATTGTGCCTCTTTATGTCTAAACTTGAGATTAGCAAACAAAAATGAATTGAAATAACCCTCACCTACATCAATTATACCTTAAAGTTTCAAATATCAGTATTTCAACAAATTAATGAGACTTGATTAGAATTATTCACTTGATATTAACTAATCTCATGTAAGCATATGGATTATGGAGTATTTTATGGTTCTATAGCTTGTGTACAATATGCATGTCAGAACATGAACATGAACATGAACAGGCTCTCCGTGTGGGACAGTTTAATTCTTGTTTTGACTTGTACCAAGCGTGAGGATAAGGCGCCCGGCTCACTCTCCTTCTAGATATCATAGACGGTGGTTTGCTCTCATTGCACTTGCACCTACTCTACCAGACGAATTCTACATTTTAATTATTGTAAGTAGGGCATATTGATTGTCGCAGTTACTTATATCATTGTATAAAACATTATGTTCTAAGAAATTATTATGTTATTTCTGTTACAGCATTTTTGATAAACAAATTGATATTTTTTGAAACAACAATTGAATTATGAAACATTGAAATATTTTTCTATTTGTCAGATAGTGTGAAGATGTCAAAATTGAAGACAAGAAGTCAGTTGTCAACCCACTTGAGCCTGCTAGTTGGTAAAGGGAAGGAGCTTCCTGTATCAGAACTTCCAACAGTGAGAGACATGCTAAGATTAGGGTTACTCCTTCGAGAAAAAAATGCAAAGGACAGAAGGAACTATACAGATAAAGAACTCATAAATGACATGATAGTCCCTCTTCTGCATCAATGGACAAAAGCTAATGCACTATTCAAACCACCTGTGATTAATCAGTGTCGAACTATTGAGCTAAAACTAACGAAATTATGGCACAAAGCAGTTGAAACATCACTTGGTAAAGGAAACTTGGCCAGGAAAAATGAATTTCTGCACACACTTGATACTCTGTTTGACATTTTGACCTGCAAGTGCTCCATACAATTATGTTCTGAATCCAACTGTTCTCACTCAGGTAAGAGAGAAAATAATTCCCACATTGATTGTGGTTGTCCTCGTGAAAAGAAGATCCCTGTTTTAGAGCTTGAATTTATAAAGGCACAGAGGACAAAGGCAGAAGGCCAAGGAAGTATGCAAATGGGTTCAATAGATTATTCAGAAACAAAGAAGCAGATTGCTAATGCCAAGAAGAGAGAACAAATCCGAGAGAGGGAACAAAAGAAGAAAATGAAGAGTGAAGAAGCCATCCAAAGAGAGGAAGAGCTGTGTCAAGATGTTTATCACTTCTTTGATAGTTCTTCTGATGAACAGGAAGCAACATCAGATGATAGTTCCAAAGAGCCATCTGAACCTTTACCAAAGAAAATGAAATACAACACAAGAAATATTTCAAACATTGCTTTAGCTAGTATTCGCCACCATGCTGGACTTCGTGAGGCTGCAGAAATTGCAACTGCCGCTTGGATAGATGCAGGCCTCATCAGCCGAGAGGATGTATCTTTGGTGATAGATCATAATAAAATTAGAAGAGCACAAGAAAAAATAATGAAGGAAATATCTGATCAGCATGAAAAAGATTTAAGCGAGGGAGGGCTCTCCTGTCTTTTGTTTGATGGAAGAATAGATGACACAAAAGTTTTGCTAGAAGTAGAGGGAGTGAACAGAAAGTTTCCAGGTCTCATCAAAGAAGAACACTACTCTGTCTGTTCTGAGCCTGGTGGTCGGTTTTTGTTTCACTTTGCTCCCGAAACTGAAGTAGAAGGGAAGAAACATGCAGAGGTCATTGCTGATCATATTTTATGTTGGGTTCAGGAGAGAGGACTTGGCAGTTCACTGCAGGCTGTTGGTGGAGATTCAACTGCAGTGAACACCGGATGGCAGGGGGGTGTAATGACGCATTTAGAGAAAAAACTAGGAAGAAGACTTGTTTGGATTGTATGTGATTTACATACAGGCGAGCTACCTCTTCGTCATCTCATCCAGGAACTTGATGGTCCTACAAAGAGCAACAACAAGTGGTCAGGTCCCCTTGGCATCATGCTGGATGAAGCAACACAACTAGAAATAAATACAACCTTTCCAAAGGTCGAAGTTGGCCCTCCCCTTCCGGCGTTGTCTGAAGGAGTCATCAAAGATCTCAGCACAGATCAATCCTATGCTTATCGTATTGCCCAAGCAATAAGATCAGGAGAAGTGCCTCAGTCATTGGCTCTCTTGGAGATTGGACCTGTCAGTCACAGCCGTTGGTTAACTACAGCTCTTCGTTTCTGCAGGATTTGGATTTCCAAACACGAATTGAAGGGCAAAGTGCTGAAGAATTTGAGGTTAATTGTTGAATTTATTATTGGAGTTTATCTTCCCCAGTGGTTTAGTGTGAAACTTAATCCTATGTGGGTGGATGGGCCCAATCACCTTTTGTTTCAATTGCAGCTAGTAAGAACACAGAGGAAGGTAGTGAGGGACATCGTGTTACCTGTGGCAAGAAGGTCCGCTTGGTATGCTCGATCAGAAGCAGTTTTGCAAGCAATGCTTTGCAGTCAATGTACCAATCTCCGAACCGAGGCTGTAGAAGTCATTCTAAAGATTAGAGGAACGCTAATAGATGACGACCAGTTGGGAGACTGTTCGTTTCATTCAAGAAAAGTTCCCCCAATAAACGTCAATGCCACCAAATTGTCAGAATTGGTTGACTTGAGTTTGGAAGTCTTAGAGCCACCATTGACAACAAGTCTAACTAGCCAAGAATTGAGAAACCTTAAAGAGACTCCAATGCAGGTGCCGAAGTGGCCTTCCCACACTCAAAGTGTGGAGAGATGTGTGAAAATGGTCACAGAAGCAGCGGGCCATGTTTACAGCCACGAGAGGCGAGAAGGTTACATCAAAGCACAAATAGCAAGCAGACTACTGATGACAAGAAACCAAAGCAAAGAGAGTATGAAGGCATTGGTTACTTTCAAATAGACTACGGATAATAAAATATAATAATTTGAAACTTGAAACAGTAACATGTGTGCAAACGCTGGTTATGTTATAAATTCACAAATATGTACATTTAAAAATCCATTTGATGTAGGTAGGACTTATTATAAAAAAAAATTTATGCCAGAATATTGTTTTGCATGCTTAAAGACTACAATAAATTGCTACCAAATTACTCGATTTTCAATTTAGCCAGTTCACCCCCTAAATTGACACACCCTAATGGGTACAGCGTTACTAACTTGCCAGATGTGTCTATATCCTAGCCTAATTCTGGCCACGACTACATCACATTGTGACGAGTGATGTTAATCTTTCTCCTCAACGGATCATAGTGGAAATGTTGGAAAATGGTGATTAATAAAGATGACTTAGTACCAGCTACAAGAACAGATAAGCACAGATACAGTAGAAACCTCTGAGAATTGATTTGAAATTTACTCCGCTAACAGTGTCACATATTCAGGTACATCCAGTGTGAGCTTGACCTACATGTGTGTTAAGTGTGAGGGATACAGTGTACTAATTTTACCTGCACAATACTGATCCACAATGGTATATCAAAATTATTAAGGGTGGTGCTGAAAAGATAGCCATTATTATTGTTATTACTACCGGGTATTATTATTATTATTATTATTATTATTATTATTATTATTATTAATATTATTATTATTATTATTATTATTATTATTATTATTATTATTATTATTATTATTATTATTGCCACCAATCGAATCTACAGAATTTTATCTTCGCAATCATTAGTTCAGACAATTCTAAGACGCTTTTCTTCTCTGACGATTCCCTCCCAAATGACCTATATAATTACTATTGTTATTGTTATTGTTATTCTCTTTAATACTACGGCAACATCTTTAAACTCATTCAAAGTCATTTAATTCCTTCATTTAATCTCATTCATTACTGTTTATTTACCTCCATTTTCTTTGATGCGATAAAAGAAAATGTAACTTTCTTGGGAAGACTTCGTTACTTTTTATTATAGTTAAAAGATATTGTACTTCAGTAATGCGAACTTAAATGACGAAATTACTGAATCCATATTAACTCGGCTCAGGGGTTAGTAAATAGGTTCAGGAGTTAGGTAGATATTGTGGGATTTAGTAAAAGGTCTTGGCTTTTGACCCTGTTGCCCTATATAGTAATAAATTGAGTAATGTTAAATAATTACCACATATAATCGCAATTCTCATATATTCTTACAACCAACCAAATCAAATATGATCTAGTTTGCAAAAAGTTAAACTTATCATATACTTTCAAAATAATTATAACCATTAGTAAATAAATGGTCTAGTGTTTCGTTCGTGACATTTTTTTTTAATTATTACCACTACTACAGGTTAGAAAATTCTATTGGTATTGTCACTTATCATATTCTTAATACAAATATTTTCTTAGAGAAATATAAACACATTATCCGAGCATAAGCTAATCATCTTAAGATTGTAGTTAACTTTTATTGGGTACTAATATTTTAAAATTTATCCTCACCAACAAAAGGTGCTGTTCGTGGTATGATTCTTAACATAGTCATCTTTAATACCAAGGTCACTCGCCATTGTAGTACGCAGACACTTTATCTTAAGCTCATGATGAACACAAGGAAGACATAAGGTAAGTTTATCACATCCAAGAGGAGGAAAACTTAAGGTGTGTGTGTGTATATACAATAGGCTTTGTTGTTGTACGTGTAAAAGAGAAAACTGATGAGTAAAACAAGCGGCTGCCGAGTGACTGTGTTGTTGTATGTAACATGTTAATTGAAACATGTTAATTGAATCCATGACTTGTTGCTTTAATTAATATTTTCTTACTTTTTTCAATATAAACGTATTCCTGTTAATCTTTTACTCTTTGGTTCAGATTTGATTAAGTAATATAACTTATTTTATAAATGTCGAGGATAACTGCAGACTTGACAATGGAATGCTTTCATGGGATTTTTGAGAAACAGTTTATTTTTGTTTCTTAAAAGATAAATTCCAGAGAAGCCCCCAACTTCTTAGTAAAATATAATCATACCATAAAAGTTGTTTGGAATTGTTTTAGTCAAAATATATAAGTTCTGGCAACAAGACTGAGCAAAAGGTAATGATTTCTATATTTATATTTGTCGAGCTACTGTATCTATTTATGTAATGTATCTATCTACTGTATCTATATGTCTATAAATAGTTTTTTCCCAAAGCCATTTGTTGCCTTCAATACTTTGATAAATCTAAGAAAATAATTCACTATGGTTAACTTTAGCAGGGGTGAACCACACCTGCCTCGTGAGTGCACTCTGGTTGGCCAAGTACTTTCTGTTTAATATGACAGGGGCTCCGCCCCCCCGGCTAGGAAGTTAAATTTAGGTGGTGAGTCCTGAGTCAATGGATTTTCAGTGATGGGAGGGGGGGAGGGAGCTGTGAACTATAGGGTAAGTTTAGCCTTAAACATGAGTTTTTGAGCTGAAAAGTTGAGGTTAATTTATATGCCGGGTCAATTTGTACACCGCCAAATATGGCAAGCCACATTTATCTTAAAGTGCCAAGAGAAAAAATTAAATTTAAGCTCACTCACTAAAATATACGCACTTACACCCTTAAATGCTTGAGTCAAGAAGGCAAGCATGAACTCCACATGCTTCCCAGTTGGGCATTGTAAATGCTTTTGCACTTAACCTTGAACAGGATGCAAGGGGGTGCCTAATAAACTAGCCCCCTCACAGGGCAAATCTAAAAAAAAACATCTAAAACATCATCTGAGACTAAAAGAGAGCTTGTGGGTGATAAGAGGGCCTTAATGTTTAATCACTTACTAATGAGGCTCTTTGGTTAAATTATGGATTGTATGTAGTGTAGTTTACCAATTTTTTCTTAATAGGGCATTAAACAAAGTGTCTCAACAAAATATTCTTCATTTATTTTAGAGATAATTAATTTATTATATGACTTAAGTATCCATTTCAACCTATTCTAATAAAAAATGTTTTTCAGAAAGCAGAATACGTGCTTGTGGTTACCTGTCTTGATCCATGAGTACAGATGGACCTGTCTGGATGTGACACCACAGCAAATTCTTCCCAGGAGTCCCAGGAAGGAGAGGTGGGTTCTTAACCATTTCCTTTTATGGCTCCTCACATCATTTACTGTAAGGTTTGGGTTCATTGTTAGTCTTTCACTAACTGTTGATTGTGGGTATACTAGTAAACACTTTGGCTTGTTCCTTTAATAAATCACCAGAAATTTCCACACCTTCACTTACACGAAGATTAAACCAGGTAATGAGAACTTGGTCTAGTTCCGCACTTTTTCCCTCCAACATTGACTTCCTTACAAACATTTTCCTTTTTGATCCACTGTCAGAAAAGATTTTTAACAGTTTTTCTTTCTGTTTTTTAATATCATACACTGTTGAAGAGCCGATGCTGTATGTTTCACAAATGGTTCGCACAGACACAAGTTTTTTAAGCACTTCCACTTTCTCTGCGATCGACAACGCACGATGTTTACGTTTTACGCCACCGCTTTTCTTTGCTGAATCCATGATGGGGCTATACAGCAGCAATTAAATGATAAAATCAGAAGGAATGAGCATGAATGCTTCTTAGCAGGTGCAAGCAAGACCCAACAGCTGATTCTGGAGTACAGCGCTATCAAAACATAAACGGCGCGTCCAGAAAACAATGGTGCGCCAAGGCAGGAAATTTGAAAATGCGCTCCGAAATCCATGCCGGAAAACTGAAGGTTCCGGTTTATCGATTGGCGGATTTTTGATGGTCAACTTGTAATAGAATAACTTACTCTGCATGGCATAACATATAGACTTTCTTTGTATTTGACCTGGTTTATTATTTGCTGATTTTCTTTGTAAATATTGGTAGAAAAATTGTAATTTAGGAAAAAAATTCAAGCACCCAATACGAAAGCGATAATCAGAAATATCTATATGGGGAGAGTAGGACTGATGAGGGAACCATGGGGAGAGGATGACTGATTAGGGAACCATGGGGAGAGTAGGACTGATGAGGGAACCATGGGGGGAGGAGGACTGATTAGGGAACCATGGGGAGAGGATGACTGATGAGGGAACCATGGGGAGAGGAGGACTGATGAGGGAACCATGGGGAGAGTAGGACTGATTAGGGAACCATGGGGAGAGGAGGACTGATGAGGGAACCATGGGGAGAGGAGGACTGATTAGGGAACCATGGGGAGAGGACTGATTAGGGAACCATGGGGAGAGGAGGATTGCACCAGGTACTCATTGTGATATCCATAAATTTTACAAGTGAGATCTTCCAATTCATTAAATTCTTTATCTGTCAGATTTGTACGTTCTTCCATTTTCTGAAAACAATTCATGATGTTTGAATGTTTCACCAGGTAGGTCCATGGATGAAGTTTACTTCTACAGGTAAAGGCACTCACACTATCGCAGCTTGTGAATGCATGGAGGCCAAGTAGAGATAGGCTTAATTCTCCACCAATTTTAGTGACAATGCTCTTTACATCTATCATTACCCATTTATCGCCTGCTCCAGAATCCATCATGACATGGGTTTTGTAATTGTTTGCAGCGTAATGATGGACCAGCAGACAACGCATCTGTGGTGTCAGATGATCTGACTGTCAGATGATCTGACTGTCACAGGAGGTTTTATCAGACTGCTTGACGGCATGCATGAGATGCAGTATCGTGCGGGATCTGCCTCTTCTTTTGTTGAACACAGGTCTTCACATTCTTGTAGCATATTTCTCTTCCCATCTGGACTAGATAGAATAAAGCATTTGTCTTTGTTTGTGAAGTACAGTTGAACTTCATGGAGTTTATTTCAATATTCAGGTTTGGACCACTCCTTTAGGTATTTTATTACTGCTTATGCTTAAGAAATTCTTCCAGTTTGTGGGGACCCTTGTCAATGGTCCGCTTATGATAAATCCCTTTCGTGAACCGTGGGTTGCTCTTTCTCTATATTTGATGCTCAACAGATGGTATGAATCGGTCACAAACTCAACCCTACCCCATTTGACTCATGTCAAGCATTGGAATATCATTGCTGTCATATCTCCAAATGTTCTAGGTTGCTTTTGGAGAATGTAAAGCAAAGCATTTCCATCAATGATGTGGATGATCTCCCTACTTGGAGGTTTTTCTTCAATGTAATCTTTTCTTATGATGTGTTGCAATTTAGACTTATCAGTTTTAATGAAGTATCCATCATGAGTTGCAAGGCTCCTTGGAACAGGTGCAAGTGAAAATGAAAGGACTTTTTCTAAATCTATGTCATTTTTAGCTGCTAAAAGTGTAAACTGAGCAAATACATTGTGTGTTGCTTTTATCTCAAATGTTTTCTTAGAGCGGGCAATATTCACTTTTAAAGACATGGCTTCAAAGTTCAGCAGTTTAGATTTCCGAATGTTCTCATGGAGAGGGACTTGCTTGGTTATTCAATGATCATTGACAAAATTTCTGAAAATGTTCCAGGCCAACTTCATCAACTCTCAACAACTTCCAGAGATACTGAATCACCAGAAGTTAAACAAAATAATTCGTCTTTTTCAGTGACTTTGAATGGGTTACTAAAGTTATTCAGAGCATTTCTTAAAGCTTGTGCATCCTTTTCACTATGTTTGATTTTTCATTGTTGGTTATACAGTATTTAAGAGCTGTTCTAGGAGTTAATAAATCATATAAAACAATAATTTTTATTTCAATGATGAAAAACATTCCATATAAAAGAAATTGATACCTCATAGACTAAATTCTGTTTAAAATTTACTTCACTGTGATCAGGTTAGAAAACCAACTCCTTAAATATTTAGTTTCGGGGTGTAATAGGCTTGAGAGGCTCTGCTAACCCCCTCCACCATTTTTGAGGGTGCTAACAAGTAGATTCATATTGCCTAGGGTCATACCAAATTAGAAATACTACTTAGGAAAATAGCCAAGGGTTGGTCTCTGCCCACTGGTGCTAATAACTATTGTCTCTTAATATTCCATACTTGGGGAGAACCTTGTGGATGGAAAGTTGTACTAATTGTACAATTATTGTCAAGCCAGAATACTATACTTGTGTGCAATACACTCTCTAAGGCAAATTGTTCTTTTTACAGGTATCGCCAACTTCACATCTCAATACCAAACACAATACAGTACAAAGTGGAAATTCAAAATGTCTATTGAAGAGAAAAATACCACCAGTGAAGAGTGTGGAACATCATCATCTCAGAACAATATTCTTCAAAAACAACTGCTTGTGCTTGGTGGCATAAAGAATTTTGAGTGTGATGAATGTGAGAAAACATTTTCAAGGAGCAGTATCCTCCAACAACATATGGTTGTTCATAGTGGCATCAAAAATTTTAAGTGTGATGACTGTGGGAAACTTTTTTCACGGAAAGGTCATCTCGATTGCCATTCAATTGTACACAGTGGTGTTAAGAAATTTGAATGTGAGGAGTGTGGGAAATTATTTTCACATAACAGTAGTCTCCAAAAACACTGGATTGTGCACAGTGGTGTCAAGAATTTTAAATGTGAGGATTGTGGGAAACTGTTTGCACGGAAGGGAAATCTTGATAGCCATTTTCTTGTCCATAAGGGTATCAAACAGTTTGAATGTGATAAATGTGGGAAACATTTTTCACGAAACAGTCATCTCAAGATTCATATGTTAGTGCACAGTGATATCAAAAATTTTAAATGTGATGAATGCGGGAAACAATTTACTCATAAGACTACTCTTGAGAATCATTTGCTTGTACATGTTGGTGACAAAAAGTTTGGTTGTCAAATATGTGAGAAACACTTTTTGCAGAAAGGTGCTCTCAAAAAACACATGCTTGTGCACAATGGTGTCAAAAAGTTTAAATGCAATGAATGTGGGAGACATTTTTCTCAAAAGAGTACTCTTGATAAGCATTTACTTGTGCACAGTGGTGTCAAAGAGTTTGGGTGTGATGAGTGTGGGAAACATTTCTCGCGAAAAAGTCACCTCCAGAATCATTCACTTGTGCACAGTGGTATCAAAAAGTTTAAATGCGATGAATGTGGGAAGCAATTTTCACATGGGAGTAATCTCCAGAAACACTTGCGTGTACACAGTGGAGTAAAAAAATATGAATGTAATATATGCATGAAACATTTTTCACATGAAAGTAATCTCAAGAAACATATGCTTGTGCACAGTGGTGTCAAAGAGTACAGATGTGAGAAATGTAACAAATATTTTTCACAAAAAAGTCATCTCAAGAATCATTTGCTTCTACACTCTGGTAACAGAAGGTTTGAGTGTACTGAATGTGGGAAAAAGTTTTTACGCAATGGTGATCTGAAGACTCACTCACTCGTGCACAATGGTATAAAAAAGTTTAAGTGTGCCGAGTGTGGGAAAAAGTTCTTACGTAAAGGTGATTACAGGAAGCACCTGCTTGTTCATGTGAACAAGGATGAAAAAGATTTGGTCAAAAGCTCCATTAGTAAGGAGGTTGAATGTGGGATAAAGCTCATACATAGTGATGACCTCGAAAAACATTTGTCTGTCCGTGAAAGCAAAGATGAGCAACAGTTAGGCAAAAGCTCCAGCAAGAAGGATGACAAATGTAAAAAATGTGGGATGAAATTTTTACGGAATTGTGACCTCAAGAAACACTTGGTTGTCCATGCAAAAATGAGCGTCAAACAAGAAATGGTCGAAATCCCCACTAGGGAGGAGTTTGAATGTATGGAATGTGGGGAAAAGTTTTCACTTAATGATGATCTTAAGAAACATTCACTTGTCCATGAAAGTATGAGTGAACAAGGATTGGCCAAATGCTCTGATCAGACAGAGTTCAAGTATATTGAATGTGGGGAAAAATTTTCACATAAAGATGATGTAAAGAAACTTTTACGTGTACGGGAAAGTAAGGGTGAACAAAAATTTATCAAAATTGAGTTCTTGAGATGTGAGGATGAGAGAAATTCACTCAGTGGTTCAGGCAGTCAATCAGTCAGTCAGTAAAGACATGGGTAGTGTTGACCAAGGCTCCATTTATTTTTTGACACCACCATGTAAGAAATTATGAAAAAAGATAAAACAATTTGATTCTATGCATCTATTTAGGCAGAAATTGAGTTCACCAAATCAATCAGATTTGATTATGAAGCACAGTACCTGTACTGATAAAATTCACTTCAAGAAATAGCCGTAAGAAAATGCACTTAAATTAAAATTTAACAGAGGTTAAGTGAGAATTTGACTTACGATAGGTCAAGAAGTATAAAAATGTGTATCACTGTGACAATTGTGTTGTGATACTGTAGTATTATGTATGATGTGTTGCTGTAGTACTATGCATTATGTACCCTGTAATGCTTAAGTACAGTATTACTGTATATGATGAGATGCTATAGTGCTCATCATCGTACATTTGAAGATGTATGCTTGGCCAATAGTTTTTGAGAAAAGTCATGTCATATCATGTAAATAGGGATGTACAGCAGTTAAAAAAAAAGTATCTGACAGGGTGGGTTCGATGACATCGCAAATTATACGTACAACTCGAGATGTCTCGGGAGGGTTGGTATGCATGTCTTCACCCACCACCATTCAGTATCCAACACGGGGGGAGGGGGGGGGGTGAGTTGGCAAATAAGAATAAAGTAAACAGTTAAGTGATTACTATCACACAATATAAGGAGACAACACACATATCTCAATACCTATCATATTGTTTCACACACAGTATGCACAGATACTTTTTTTTAGCTACTGTACATACAGAAGATGGACTTAATGCTGTATTACCTGCCCATGTTTTGGAAATTATGTTTACCACATCAATTACTGTACAGTTGGTGTGCAAAGTCATGATTTTGTTTCATATAACCATAAATCATATTGAAATGTGTATAGAATACATTTGTGTATATTGTATATACTGCTTTTGGAGGTTAACCTTAAGTTAAAATAGTCATAGATAGTATAATGTACAGTACTATACTTCTTTACCAGAGGTTTTAAGCTTTTGAAAATGTGAATCCATTTTTCTGGCAATTAGTGCTATTTACAATAAGATCAAGTGTTTTATAATATATATATATATATATATATATATATATATATATATATATATATATATATATATATATATATATATATATATATATATATATATATATATATATATATATATATCATGTAAATCCACAATGCGTGGATAAGATAAATCTTGATAAAATCTGCGGGAAAATGGAAACGAGTGATGCCTTGGCTTTAGATGCTTCATTAAGACATCTTCAGAGCACCTTTCTGCCTCTGAGAAGATGTCTTGAATAAAAACAGCAAATGCGTTCATTTCCTTTTCGATATTATTAAAAGACTATATATATATATATATATATATATATATATATATATATATATATATATATATATATATATATATATATATATATATATATATATATATATATATATATATATATATATATTATAAAACACTTGATCTAATTGTAAGTTGTAAATATATATATATATATATATATATATATATATATATATATATATATATATATATATATATATATATATATATATATATATATATATATATATATATATATATATATATATATATATTAACTATGAGTAGACCGTTTGTTCCTCCTACACAATGCTGATCGGCGCCATACATCGCCGTTCACTGGATATCCAGTACCGGGTGAAGGGTCTTTTCAACATAAGACGACTCCAGGCAGGAACAAAGGTGTCGGCAGCTTCCAATACTGAGCTTCAGTATACAGACAACCTCACCCTTGTCACTCACACGACCTACAGGAGATCCTGAACATCTATGGGTATATACACAGCGGCCTTGGCGTCAGTAAAGGTAAGACTCCGATTCTCTTTCAGATTGTCCCTGGTTCAGCCACACCACCATTTGTCGAAAAAAATATTTTGAAAGATCGGGCCGTGGAACCACTATTGTCGCCTGCCTTCAGACGAAATTTGCTGTTTTCATCAAATTTAAAATCTAAACCCGCCATGGAATCTCATTTTGATTATGCTCATTAGATGTGGCATATGCATCAGATCAGTACATGTACAGTACTGTACAGTACAGTACAGTAAAGATCAGCATAGATCAGTACACGTACAGTACTGTACAGTACAGTACAGATGAGCATAGATCAGTTCCCATACAGTACTGTACAGTTGTCATGGTCACGTTGACTGCTAGTCTATTTAACTAATGATTCTTATTAAACTCCGTCGACTGCAAAGCATGAGTGGGTTAGCAACCCCTGAGAAGGAGACGTGTTTTTCCCCATAGACGCTACTCTAGTGTTCCCTCCATTTGTCCCGCCTTTGTGAAGACAGTTGTCGATCAGTGTTTATTCCACTTTCTCCTGGGAAGCTCAATCTTGAATTAGTCTGTGTAAATCAACTCCAAGTAATTTGCCAGACCCTTGTCAACTGAGGGTCTTCCTTGAATGAGTAACAGTTAGTTTGTTTGTAATTATTTTCATTGCGTGAGTAGCGATCGCTGGCAACTCGGGGGTATATGTACCATCGCATCAGGCAGGGCGAGCGTCCCCTGACGCCGCTCTGCCGTTTGTCCTCATGCATGTATATGTGTAGCCATTCGGTTTGATTCAGTCAATTGTAGTGAATATCAGTGTTCATGCTTTTAACATTTGAATTGTCATTCACCCACTGTAAGAAGTAATATGACGTAAATATGTCTGTCGTTCCCAGACAAAAGATTTGTTGTGATTGTGTTGCTCATGCTTCGTCCCCTGGCGCCGCTCTGCCGTTTGTCCTCAGATCCAATTGTGACTCTTGGGTCACTCAACAACGGCCCCAGATGCAATAGATACCCAGCAGGGATCAATATATGAGACGATGGCACCGATGCGGCCTGATTAATCTGCTCCACTGCCTCTTGGTGCCAGACCCCAGACTCGTCATGTGTCTGGCTACCACCGTGAAACAGTGTTCTACCCTGGGACACTCCCTGGAAGATATATGTCAATAGAGGGTGTTGTAATATTTATGTTGGGGATAATTAGTTGGAAATAATTATCCCATGTTGGGTAGTGGACCCATGTATCTGCTGTTTCCGTATTAACGTGTATGTGAAGTAAAATACCTTGTTATGTGTGAGAAGTAAAGTTGTCCACTTGGGACTATTAGTAAGGTCTTGTAACTGTACTGTAATGCCACGTACCACCAGTAGGTGTGAGAAGTAAAGTAATCTACAAGGAGTGCCATGTACTATGTATTGTGAGTAGGGCCAAGGAACTGGTCCTGCTAGGTAATGTAATGTAACACCAGTAAGGTTGTGTGCAGTAAGAGTGTAAGATCTGAGTAATTGCTGTTGAGTGAAATAAGTAAAGAAAGTACTGAGTCTACAATAAGCCCAGGAGTTGAGCGTGGTAGTTATATGTTATTAATATCTCTTTTTTTTTCCCTTTGATTTCATATTAATAAATTTGTTCTTAGAGTATTTTAGGTGTATTCATTTCTCCCACAGTATTTTACCTTTACTTCCGTCCAAGTGACTTGATACCAGAATTACCCTATCCATGTGCCTAGGCCCTCGTCCATGCTACCAAAGAACGTCCATGCTACCAAAAGAATGTCCATGCTACCAAAAAGAACTAAGGTTATGCAGTAACCAGTGAAGTAAGTAAAAGGAACATGTGAAGGAACTGAGTAAGGATATGAACTAAAGCAAGAGAAGTAAGTAAGATAAGGGTGGTGTAGGTGTTGGAAAACACATGCCCTTACACAGTACAGTACAGATGACCCTCATTAATGCTACAACTGAAGTACAGTACAGTACATTTAAGTACAGTACAGTACAGATGTCCCTCATTAATGTTACAACTGATGTAAATAAATGTAGCTTTAACAGGGTGAGTAAAAAGTATGTTATAAAAGGAGAAAGTTAATTATTAACTTGTTTACAAAGACTGATTTAACTGAGAACTATTTACGTGAATGTGTGGTGAGGTTGGTGATGTAGTCACTGAAGAGCGATGACGTACAGTACATTATCTGCAAAAAGAAAAAGTTTCCAATGATAAGGTATATTAATACACCCTGTACTGTATCCTGTGTGAATGTGGACTGAGGATGACTATATGAATGTAACACAGTAAATATAGTATATACCTTTAGAATAATTCAAGAGGAAATATAAGGCACTGGGGTGTGAATTAAGTCAAGTAAAAAGACGATCTGTGACGAAGAGGAGAGAGTGAAATAAACCTACCGGACTTGACATAGTTTCTCTTACCAAAGTGACACACCCTAAATATTAAATGTTTATACAAATTATCTAAATAATTGAGTGAACAATTGTAAATTTTATTTCTTTTTAACTAGTAATAGCAAATATAAGTTAAAACTAAATAAATGAAGCAAACTATAAATATATAGAGAAATATAAGAGAAATAACAAAATATTCAATATTACCAAAAAAAAAACTCAAAGTCTATATAAGACAGGTGTTCCATCTTACAGGAAGATAAAAAAACTCAACAAAAACTAGAAACAAAAAGATGGCATCATCCTTCTAGTGACACAAAGATCATAGAGGGACCTCTAATATAAAAAGCCTTGAGAAAACATCAAATAGAATAACTCTTGACTAAGACCGTCCTTGTACTGCACACTCAGAGCTAATGCCTTTCCTATATCACCAATCAACCAACCACTTAAATCTCTTGTGGACAGTGAAGGACAGGCCAAGACTGTCAATATATAATGAAGTTTAATCGAAAATGAAAAATGTATTCACTAATTAAATAAAATAGTTACTCTGTTTTTTCAGATCAATGTAATAGTTACCTCATACAACTTCTGTGAAGAAGTATGTTGAACCCAAACATTAATAAGTTAATAAGTTAATTGGTTTGGTGTAGATGTAATACTGCATTCTGATAGTCTGCTAATGAATTAGTAAATGAAATGAAATTATGATGTTAAAAGCTCATTAGAATGTTCCTGTAATTAACAAGTAATTACGCTAAATTCATGCAACTAAATGATTGATGCATCCAAAATGTATAAGTACCCTAGGTTTTAGGGGCAGGGGTTTGGAGACCGTTGGCGAAAAAATTTCACCTTCAAAACCCCCACCTTCAAATTTTGTTCCTTCCATATCTTGCAATCTTTCCTTTTTTGTTTTGATGAGAGGAAGAAGAAGAAAGAAAGAAAGAAAGTGTATAGTTTTGATGAGAGGAAGAAGAAGAAAGGTTTAAGGGTAACTATTATATTTCATCACAGAAGATGGTTAAAGGGGTAACTATTATATTTGAACACAGAGATTTGAAAGGAGAGTTTAGGGGTAACTATTATATTTCATCAAAAACAGATAAGACATTATTAAATTTAATGTTTTAATGATTTTTGTAGTTTATTGTGAATTGTATCGTCCTGATAGTGCTATTAATTAGTAAATATGAAATAAATTATAGGTATTACAAAAAGCTCATTAGAATGTTCCTGTAATTAACGAAGTAATTACATAAATTCATACAACTCGTGAAATTTGATGCATCCCAAAATATCTGGAAGGCACTAGGTTTTTTAGGGGGGCAGGGTTGGGGACAGGTGGCGAAAAAATTTTGCCCCTTAAAACCCCACACCTTTCAAATTTTGTTTCCTTCCCTCTATCTTGCAATCTTTCCTTTTGTTGTTTGATGAGAGAGAAGAAGAAGAAAAGAAAGAAGAAGGTGTATAGTTTTTGATGAGAGGGGAAGAAGAAAGAAGGTTTAAGGGGTAACTAATATATTTCATCACAGAGATGGTTAAGGGTAACTATTATATTTGAACACAGAGAATTGGGAGAGTTTTGGGGTGCTATTGCTTCATCAAAAAACAGACAAGAGGTAATTATTAAATTTAATGTTTAATGATTTTATTAGTTAGGTATGAATGTATCTGCATTCTGATAGTGCTATTAATTAGTAAATATGAAATGAAATTATGATGTTAAAAGCTCATTTGAATGTTCCTGTAAGTGCTGAAGTAATTACATAAATTCATACAACTCGTGAGGTGATGCATCCCAAAAGTAATATATAAATTACACTAGGTTTCAGGGGGCAGGGTTGGGGACAGGTGGCGAAAAATTTCACCCCTTCAAAACCCCCCACCTT